TACCAGAGATGGCTAACCTTTTTGTCGTCGCATGCCGAAAGCATGCTCATGCGTGTGAGAGCACACATATGTGGGACCACACCCATAATGCAATAGACCTGTGGCCCCCCCCCCTGCGTGTCCTGCGGACATGTGTGCGACCCCCCGTGCCCCATTTTGGGCCTAGCAGGCCTCTGAAGCCTCCTGGGATCAAAAACGGGCTGTGAGGGGAGCGCTGCACGCCCCGCACCCCATTTTGGGTCTAGCAGACCTCCCTGAAGCTTCCTAGGACCAAAAATGGGGTGCAGGGGGGTGCACGCCCCTACCCCTGCATATGCATGTGTCCCCACTCTTCCATACATGTGTGTGTATCTCTCGCATGTACCCTGACCCCTGCACATGTGCAGCAGAGACCTGAAAAGCAGCTGGCCTGTGGGAGGCACACTCATGTATGGTGGCGATAGGTCACGTGCCTTCATAGGTGCCTTCACCTGTGGCATACATGCCATAAATTTGCCATCACGGCTATATATTATATGCTAATTGACCAAGCCTATCTTTTTTTTTCTCCTTTAAAGTCAGAATTCCTGACAGTAACCAATTGTTGGTTATTTTGACTTTCTCCTTCTCTGTCTTCAGGGCTAAAAACTAGCCCACAAGCGTCTTGAATAAGACACCAATACTGTGCCTAATAATCTCTATGCATCTGCCAAGATTCTCTCAGGAGGCCATCTTAGTGAAGATATCCATATTAGCGAGGAATATAGCAATGTTGGTTTAATCTATTCTTCCCTGATTTGGTGTGATTCAAATATATTTAATTACAATTTTCACCAAGAACCATGTCCAATGACAGAGCGTATATTTTGCTTGGAAAGGGCCTAGGTATTTCTAAATAGAACTGGAAAAGCTCCCGTCTAAATAAGTCAGTCAGCACAAATGCTAAGCTAAACAGATCAATAGATGATGCAAGTTGACAGACAACATTGTTCCTATCAGAATGAGAGTTGAATTTGATTATTTTTGAAGGACATTGAGTTGAGAAAAGCTAGCTTAGCCAAAGCCAATTGAGCGGCTTAAATACATCTACTTTTTCCCCTTCATTTTAGTTGAACAGGCAGGGGGAAATCTTGCAATGTTTTGACTTTGTTCATCCTTTCTTGTTCAGAACTGTAGGAAATGTGGTATATCTTTTAAAGATAATGACACCAAGCACCACTGTCGGGCCTGTGGAGAAGGTTTTTGTGATGGTTGTTCATCCAAGACCCGCCCTGTCCCGGAACGTGGTTGGGGACCCACACCTGTGCGCGTATGCGATAGCTGTTATGACAACAGGGGCGTTCAGTTAGGTAATCTTGTCTTGATCATACTATGTGTGAAAATCAAAATGATGGAATCAACAATTGTGGGATTTTTTTAATACTGTATTGTGAAAATGTAAATCTTGTGATATATGAAAATGAAATCAAACTAAACAATACCTGTGATCAGCTACTTGTAACTAACATACTCTCATTAATTTCACTGGGTCTTCTCCAAGGCTGAATTTGCACAAGATATATGTTAATGGTTCGCTAAACTGCAATTCAATGAATAAAGCAGAAATGACTGAGCATGGTCAGCCTAAATACAACTGATAGTAAGGTTAATACTTTATATAAATTCAATTGACATATGACTTGGACAGAACCTTTTGGAATCTCTTTCCATTATATGCAGCTCATTTCAGTCACCGTTGAAGCTAATGCTATTATATGCTGTACATTAACTAAGATGTTGGACTTCACCCGAGGAACCCTGAGTTTCAATCCCACTTAATGTGTGGAGCTCATTAGATGATTTTAGGCTACTCACTCCACAGGTTATTGCTGTGGAGATAAAATTAAGGGTGATGCCAATTCATGCCACCTTAAGATTCCTAGAAAAATTGAGATATAAATGTAAAAAAAATGCATTGAAGAAAATATAAGAAATTATTACCTCGGGACACGAAATCACATAAGCAGCCTGCATATTGTTCAGTTTACTGTTCTTGCAAGTCTATCATATTCATAATAAATTGTTAAAGCATGAGGGATTTTTTTCAGTAATTTATCTTATTTAGTTGGTGTCCTTGCCAGTTGCATCTTTTGTCAGCTTAAAAGCAAACCATTTTAAGTTATTTATTTATTTGAATGTATTGGCTGCCCAACTCCAATGAACTCTTTGCAGTGTACATACCTAGGAAAACTAAAGAAAAAAGCTAAAAACTTGGAATCCCACAGGCTTCAACAGCAACACACAGCATGGGCCATTAAAACATAATAAAAACCAATCCCAGACTGAAGGTTTTTTGAAGTTTTCAGGAACCTCAGGAGAAAGAACAATGTCCTTAACTCTGAGGGGAAAGTGTTCTAGTGGGTGAGAGGTGCAGAACAGAAGTCATGCTTCTTAGGCTCCAGACTGGCAAAGCTAAATGGAGGGGACCTGGAGCACATCTATTCTGCTGGATTGTACTGGGAAAGCAGAAACATTTGGAGATAAACGAGATAATCACAATAGGACACACAATAACTGCTAGCTTTATAGGCTGCTGTGAGGATGTCACTCCTAAGTGTCACTTGTTCATTTGATAGCAGCTGGAAGTCATGAAGATTTTTCAAAGGCCAACAGAAATATGAGAAATAGTCCTCAAATTTACCTATGAACACATTCATCTGGAAAAGTTACACAAATTTGGTTGAAGCTCTTAAAACCGGTATTTAACTCTGAATGGATTTTGGCTTCCATTGAAGACTGACTAGGATATCTATGGGAGCTTCATAGAATCATATGATTAGAAGAAACCATTTAGCCTACTGAATCCAAATTAAAGAGTCTTGACAGATGCCTGACCAACCTCTGTTCAAGTATATCCTTCAATGGGAAGTTTATCATCTTGATAAGATATGTCTTGTGAGGAAGTTTTTCCTAACATTCAATCAGAATCTGCTTTGGGTAACATAAGACAATTATTCTTACTTTGTGATGTTTTTAAAATAGTTAGAGGATTCCTCTGGGGTTGTGCTTTTGGTTTTGAGCCCTAACATCTGTTTTGCAGAAGTGGCTGAAGCATCAACAGATGAGGAAGGAGGGACACTGATTGCCAGGAAAGTTGGTGAAGCTGTGCAGAACACACTTGGGGCTGTGGTAACTGCCATTGACATCCCACTGGGTAAGTGCTACAAGTGGCTTTAGAAAGGTTCTGAGCTTCTTACTACTGTGTTTCCCCGAAAATAAAAACCGGTCTTATTTTCTTTTGAGCTCCAAAATTAAGTGCTAGGACTTATTTTTGGGAGATGTCTTATTTTTTCCCCATGTACCTTAAGAATACATGGGAGGCCCACTTCTTCTGCTTGCTTGCGGTGGGGCAAGAGGCCGCAGAAGAAGTGGGCCGGCTGCCAAGTGAGGTCCTGCTGGACAGGCTGCTGGAGCTGCCGCTGTGAGGTGAGGCAGATGTTGGAGTGTGGATGACCTGGCTGCCGGGACCCAGAGGTAAGTTGGTATGGGGCGCGTGGGGCAGCTCTACCTCTCGCCTCGTGGCCACAGCACCACAAGCAACCGGTCGGAATGAGCGGGTGGTTGGCTGCACAGGCATGTAAGTAGGGCTCGTTTGGGGGATAGGGCTTATATTAGGAGCACACGCAAGAAAAAAACCATGGTAGGGCTTATTTTCAGGATAAGTCTTATTTCTGGGAAACGCAATAATTACAAAAACAGGCTGGAGGGAACATGCAGGGGAATGAACAGATCTGCCTCTGCAGCAGATGGTATTTCTTAATTGATGGGTTTATAAATTAAGTAAATTTGAGCTACTCTCCCTTTGTGATTATGGCCAGGTATTTTCAAATCTCAGTGGGAGGCAGAGACATTTCCGAGTAGTGTTTTCTTTCCTGGCTGTGTCAATAGACAGAGCCACTATACAGAGAGACTAACAGACATAACTTAACATAATTAAGGTATAAACATACGCAAACTTTAAATTTAGTTTTTTTGTAAGCAAACAGAACAGACTTCATAACTTTTGCCCTGCTTCACTGATAACAAACTAGCTTTGTGGGATTTTTCTGATCATTTACAGGTCTTGTGAAGGATGCCGCGAGGCCTGCCTACTGGGTACCTGACCACGAGATCTTATACTGCCACAATTGCCGGAAGGAATTCAACATCAAATTGTCAAAGCATCACTGTCGTGCTTGCGGCCAGGGCTTCTGTGATGAATGCTCCCATGAGCGCAGAGCTGTCCCTTCCCGTGGTTGGGATCATCCAGTTAGAGTCTGTTTTAATTGCAATAAAAAGCCTGGTGATCTTTAACCCCAACTTTCCTTCTGGGCACGCAGTAACACCATAGCTTCTCAGGGTTAAGATAAAAAAGGAAAAAGAAACACTAGGGAGAATGCATGCTCCTCAAGTCTAGCCTTCTTTACATGTGTAGATTTCAGTAATGTGGAATAATCAATAGCCCAGAGAAGGCTTGATTACCAGTTGTGATCATGGAAGTTGGGGATTGGAGTATGTGGAGAAGCTTGCAATAAATTGAGGAATCCCAAATCCAGTATATACCAGTCAACTGTTATGTATTTCTGTATCCCTATAATGTAGTATGTTAAATGCAGTTGGCTGATGAAGCAGTTATAATTTACTGTTAACATTGAAACATAAATAGAAATTGGATTTTTTTAAAGTGTAATGGATCAAGCACAACCTCTTGAGTGCCTTGGGATTCATTTGTTTGAAGCATTCTGCTACTTACAGCATCATGAATTTCAATAATTGTGATTCTACAAGTTGGTCACTTGAAATAATCACCATTCATGAGCCTTGATTTTGGATACAGAGTACCAGGCCTTTGGTCTGGCCATTGCAACTCTATCACCCTTATTTATTTTATCCTTTTCTGGCTTCCTTCTGCTGGTAGGGTCTTCCCAGTCAAAGCTGGAAAGAGGAGGAATGCTGTTTATTACTTTGTTTGTGGTCTAATGTGCAAGATTGGAAGCTCTTGTATTAAACACAGTTTAAGTTTGGAGAGAAATTAAATTTGTGCCACAAACCCAAAACGTATCTATTAAAGCCATTCCAATTTAATTCTGAGGTGATGAATCCTTAACTTTTCTTATCCACAAACTTGTGAGGTTGTGGATTTCTTTGTGATATATTCTCATTTCTTCATCAAACAACTCCAGACTGAAAGCAGTGGTAAGTACGAAGCAAACTTCCATACCTAGCAGTGTAGTGTTTGTTTAGCTTCCCAAGCTTTAGTTTTTTGTAAGCTGGCAAATGTCTGAAAGGACCCTCAAAGCACTCAAACAAAACTGAAAATGGGCAATCCTCCAGGTGTACAAGCAATTGAGACAATGGCATTGAGACAATGGCATTTTTTTTACAACAGTACTGAACCATTGTGAGGCATTGATCTAATCACTGAATAAAATCATAGGATTAGGCTTTTCTGTGCATCTTGTTACAATGATAAGATACCATCAGAAGCTTAATTTTAAAAAATCCCTTTTTGCCTCTTCTGAGTCAAATGGCACATTCCTGTGGTGGAGACTATCTACATTAATAATGGCTGGACTTTGGCATGATATCTAACACTGTTTTCCAATTTATTAAGTATATTCTTGTATATCTTGACACCTGAAATCCTGTTGTAGGACTGTATTAAATTAAGTGCTATAAAGGACTTACCCCATCTGAACAAGTGTGATTTTTTTCTGAATGCCTGCCTAGTCTTACGCTGTCACTAGAGAGAAAATATAGTATTGACTTTGTATATCAAAACAGAATTGGATTATATAGTAACACATTTCTGAATTATACATGATTTAATATGTATTTTGTTATTAGAAACTGAATAGTCTTTATGTCCTCATATATAATTCTATCCTCCAAGGTGGAGGATTTCCCCCCCAATATTATTTTTAGTTTTGACTTGTGGTGGAACATAAAAATGCAATTTGTTTGTACACTGTGTGTTCTTCATGCATGTAGCTATTCCACCATGTTATTGCACATACAGAAATACTGAACGTTCCTCATATAAAATATTCACTTGCAAGCTTGTTTTATGTAGTTGTTTTTGTTTTTTTTTTTAAAAAAACCAAACTTCATTCTAAGAAGCTCAGTCAATGTTTGCCAATGCTGTCTTCACCATCTTGGTATCTTTAAGCTATGTTAACTTCAAGTTGCATTGTTCCAAGTGACTAGGCATTCTACAGTGCAAGACATGGTAGACTCAATATACTACTGATGCTCTCGAAGGACTGAAGTTGCATGGCCTTCATTATGTCACTAAGTGGGCCTAAAACGTCATCTTTAGAATAGAACCAAATATACCAAAAAAAGTGTTTTCTACTAAAATAAAAACTATTTTATTTTAGTAGAAAAACCTGTAATCACAAATTATATAATAGAATAGAATAACAGTTGAAAGGGATCTTGGGGGGGGGGGTCTTCTAGTCCAACCACCTGCTTAGGCAAACAGAAATATGCTTACAGCTGTTGTTAAAAAAAACAGTGGCAAAACACAAGACAATGAAAGCTTTGGAGGAAATCTCTTTCAAGCTATCCTACATTAACTGAAAACCAGAAGCTTCTCATCTCAGTTAATACCATTTTAAAGGTAATATTACACAAATAATATGCTCGACTATAATTATCTGCTTTACTTAATTTTCAAATAATAATGGGCTTTGAAAACCTCAGAAAAATATGTGCATCAATGTAGCAAAGCTTACTCTGGACACTTAAGATTTTGAGACCTATTTGTGGAACATTCAAATATTCTGCCATCTTAATGGTGAAACATCTGCTTTCACTTTAGTTGTAAGCTTTAGCAACTGTATTCGAAGTCCTAGAAATACCAGCAATTTGAGTTTCAGTTTGTAAATAATTACTATGAAAAGAAAAATGAAAATGTGCACTATTCATAATCTGTTTTATTTTAAACACTGAAAAATATAATTATAAAAGTCTTGAATGTTAACTATGAGAAGTACAGCACAACTATGCAGCACAACTATACCCATCATTCTTATTTTCAGTCACTATGCAAGGTGGAACATTCCATGTCTTTAATATCCAGGCAATATGGATCATCTGTCTTATAGGAGAAATAATAGAGATCTTGTCTGACTGCCATAAGCAAGCCAGGAACACCTCGAGCACCTCCAAGCTGTGAGGAGAACACCACACTTGGAATAGAATCTCTGGAGGATGGGGATGGAGATGGGATAGTTCGTAGCAAATGAGCATCCTGGAGACTCCAAATTCGCGTATAACAGTCTTGACCCACTAAGAAATAAAAGCAATTAAAATATGAACATAAATTGTAACACTTGACTATTTACAGACATTTCAAAGAAACTAAGTTCTTCATCCGCCGCCTTTCCCAAATTAGAATGCTTGCTATAGATTTTGGTAAAGGTGGCTGATGGCAATGAAAATAGATTAAATGGCCATACGAACTGACAACTTAGAGGGAGGAGATCATATATGTTGCCCAAGATGGAGAACAGAATGGTTTGCCTTCTGCCATTGAGCTAATAGATAAATTTGGGTAATAGCAATTCTAATCAACCCAGCAATATATATAAAAAGAGATATGCAAGTTTGTAGGAGAAAAACTAACCTCTTTAGAGAATAGTGGTTTTCTTGAAATCTGGATCATTCTCAAGCATATTATTAAGGCCAGTTAGGTACTCTTTTCATTTTTGTCTAATGCTTAAAAGTTAGAAAGCAATAAATGCTGCTTCCAGAGCCTTTGGTTTGTTCTCAGGCCAACTTCATTTTATATACATGCGCCCTGCCTGTTTATTATGTAACAATAAATACAGTATATGACCAACAACACCATACCTGCTGAAAGAAGCCCTTCCTCCTCATTGATGTGCAAAGGAAGAATAGTATGCTCATTTTTATGACCACTATATTCTTTTACACATTTTAGTTTCCTCAGGTCCCAGAGCTTTATCTGCAAGTGATCAAAGTAACAGAACTAATATAATTCTATTTTAAGCAGAAGATACTATTATCAGGAAAATTTTATTTTTTAAAAAAAATCCTACCTGGCCCAACATATCTGCAGCCATGAGATACTGCTCACTTTTCAGGAGATTAACAGAGGTGACTGCTGAGTCATGGAAAAATTGGCCAGCTTTCCATTTTTGCCCTTTATGGTTGCATTGACGGACATCAATACTGAAAATCTCCCCTGAACGACAACCATTATATAAAACGGGAGACTAGAAAAGCCAAGGAAGAAATGAAACATTTTCAATTAAATCCACCCTCAAAAATAACCTTCAGTCTTTAATCATATCAGATTCTTTTTAAGGCTACAGAAGCACATAATGGGTTGTTAATTCTAATAATATGTAAATCATAATATAAATAATGAGCTCAGTAATTCTATTTTCTCCAAATGACAGCCAAGGTAGTGATGATGCAAGCAGCTAAAGAAAGAGAGCAAGGTTTACATTCAGCTGTATCATGTATTTTTATTACATGTCCCAAATTGGTTGTCTAGCAAAAAGTGATTTAGTTTAGCAGCATATTATCTAGTGATCAAATATTCAGCATTAGTGGCATTATGTTATGTGATTATCTGAATAATAGGCTGCAGTTTGTTTTTCCTGGCATGCCATTCCAACAAATTTAAACAGCCATTATGTTCTAGCAGTTCATCTGTTTCTGTCCTTTCGTGCCCTTATTATGTCCTGACAGTATTAAGTTCTGATGAATATATGTATATCAAGCTGATAGCCTCTCCTACCTGAGTGGCAAATTGCTGTGCTAGAACATCACTGTTGGTGTTAAATGTTTGATGATGCCCAGTCACTGCATTAGTAACAATGATTCGTTGATTTAAACCTAAGACAAACAAAAATATTAAGTGACAAGTGTATAATAAGAAGACACCATAGTGGAAATTTGAATTACTAACCTGTGCTAAAGCAGTTATTAGCCTGAGGATTATGACACCAGGCACAAGACCAGGCTGTGGAGATGTTAAACCTCCATGACATTCCACGTTCAACTGCTAAAAATGAATAGGAAGATATTAAACGCCACTATGAAGTTGGAAATATGCTCCATACAAATCTATGTCATGACATTTCTGAACATTACATAATTATTTCAGCAGAAAATACAGCAATACTTGAAACAATATGTTTTTAAAATGAAGCAATTATATTGTTTGTAATTTGTAAGCCATGCAGAGTCACCTTGTAGGGGAAATGGGCAGCATAGAAATTTAATAAATAAATAAAGTTGTAAAGAATGCAAGTGATAATTAGAATCTGGGCAAATTTTCTATTTAGAGGGAGAGGTGTTTGTACTAATGCCTCACATTAAAAACGCTTCAGATATTACACATATGATAGTTAACATTTTGTGTGAAAAAACTAATAATTAGCTTTTTTAAATGTAATGTTTCAGTATCATTAAAGAGTAATTTTTCCCCCAATATCTTGGTTAAATCATGTCTGTTTAATGTGTTTATTTTTTATGATTTTTACTAATGTTGGGCTTCACAAGTTTCTATATCCGTAACCTGAGATAGAAATCCAAGCTCTTACAATATGTGTGCATTGTGTAGCAAAAAATGTTCATATTTTCCTTCTCGACCAATATTATTGTATTTTATCCTATTTCACACACATTATCAGAAGTAGTTCAAATACATTTTCCATGGAAAATACCTCTATTTTTTAAGATCTACAAATAAGAAAAAAAATGTTTTCAAATTTCAGTTCCCTATTAATATTCTCATGGATCAAAAATATATACCTATATGAGTAGGAATTAATGGAGCAGCAGCAGAAACAACATTCTCTTAAGAGATATATAAGCATGTATTGATATATTTAAAACATTTTTATAACTGCCTATAGAATAACAAACTTTTCCTTTTCGTTCCGTCCTCAAACAAATATGAAATACCTGTGTTAGAGCTGCTGAAGAAGGAAGCTGGAAGCAGACTGGCACACCCTAGATTTTCTGCAGCACCCATGAGGCACAACTTGAAAAATGCAGTTAAGGATATTATAGATACAAAGAGCGTGCACAAAAATAAAGTAACATAACATCAGACTAAGATGCACAGTAGATCAACCTCTGCAATGAAAACACTGATAAAATCATGTTCAGACTATATTAAACCATACAGTAAAATATTCATTCACTGAAACTAATGCTTCCATTCTGTGGTTTTAATGATTTATTGCAATGACTACACCATTCATCTTAAAGATTCTGGGCAGTTTTTGACACAATTAAAATTTCATCCCTCTCTTTTTAACAAAATGGGGGGAAATATTTTTTCTCTTTTATCCATAAAGGAGGGTAAGGGCAACAAAGGCTAACATCAGCATTTCTTAATCTGGTTTACAAACCCTAAAACAGCAAAAATATGTTTTTGTTTTTAATGTAGGATTTTACAGAACTGCTACACTTTGTGGGAGATATGATCTTGACTTCAAATTAGTCTGCAGCTCCAAGCCTTCTCATCAAATAGTAACTTAATACTTTTTAACTTTCAAATCAAGAATAAGTCGCTGCATATGAACCTCAAAAAGTATTTTCTCATTCCCTTTTGCAACAGCCTCAATCCAGAAAGATTTAATATAATCAAGAAACCTTACAGGATTGGTTTTTAGTTTTTAAGAAATCAAGTTACACTATGCAATAGTTTTGTAATGAACCTGAACTTAGACAACCTTTATTTAATAACAAGGATATAAAACATGAGAATCCTGATGTCTCAAAGAGGCCCAGCATACAGAATTCACCTTGGAAAATAAAAGACAAATACGCCTATTAGAGCAAAATAGGGAAAATTAGAGAAGAATGCAGCAAGTACTAAAAAACTAGAAAGACACAAAAATTTAATAGGAGATTAATACTTTGGAATGAAAGTAACTGTATTAAAAAAAGGAATACATCTTTAAGGACTATGTAGGCCTCGGTAAATACTGTATGTTCTTAAATCTTTATACACTTCAAACTAAACAAAGCAAACCAACAAAAATAAAATAAAAAATATATTAAAACAGATTGCAGTATTCAGATAACCAGAAAAACATATCAAAATGGGCTCATAAAACCTACCTGGGGGAAAAGTCTGATTTTTACAGGCAGGGGTGGAACTGCTATACATCTAGCAGCAATTCTATGGCATTTCAGAATATATTAGTTTAAAGAATGAATCATTGATATTTATTTTAATTGTTTACTAGAAAACTACTCAGTGTTTTTAAAAAGACATTTATATCCTGTTTTTCAAAAACACTACAGGGTTATAAATATAATAAAATAATTAAAATTTTCAAAACGCTAAAGAGAAACATCAATGGAGATAATAATAAATGCCTAAAATAGCAGAATATTTACATATCATCAAAACATCAGTAAAAACGACTGTATCCCAAAACGATGCCCTTACTGAAGTGTACTTTGGAAAGCCCTTTCACTTTATGTACATCTAGTGGGGGTATTTAGGGAATCTACACTGACCTCAGTAGGGCCAAATGGAGAGAAGAAAATCATGAGATATCTTGGCTCTGCATGGTGAAGCCATGAGCCCCTGGGATTTGGACAGGGGCTGGAAAATCAATCAGGAACTATTATCGTTACTTAGAAAGAAATGGGTTCTCAACATCTAGAACACAGCAACAGCAACATATTCTGAACTACAAATTCTGAAGCAAACCAGATAAAATGAATAGTCTAAGACTGATTAGGCTATTCGTTATAGTAGGGTAACTGAGGTGCATCAGCTCAACGTGGTGGAAAACACTCTGGGGTATGAGCCAAGAGAACTTCCAAATATGTTTGGTTTTTTTTACGAAGAATTCATCCAACACAGGAGTTGTACTGAATTTTATAAAAACTTCTATCACAAAAGTTAAATGAATTCCTTTTGGGTACTATACTTACCATTTTCAACTCTTAAATTATTCTGCATTGTTTCCTTTTAAAACTCATTTAACATTCATTTTGTAAAATCAACCAAATATTATTTAACTAAAACCATCAACTAGATTATAATTTATGTGATCAAAAGATATGAGTGATTGCAGGACAAGAATACCTTGCAATTTGTGAAGCAGGGGTTATCATACGTCTCTACGGTAAGAGAATTCTTTCCCAAACCACGGAGGTTGACAATTCCATATTTACATCCTTCTCGTTCTGTATCATTTACAGCGATTATTCTCTCGGAGGTAGTGTCTGCCTGCAAAAGATGTGAATTGTTCTTTAATGGTGTACTCCAGTTTTTCTTGGAAGGCACACCCACTGATATTCACTGATGGAGAATTGTATTCCTTTTAAATAGTTAATGTACCCAAATGTCATAGTTTAGCACATGCCAATTTTTTTTCCTATCTCACAGTCCTATTCTAGTTAGATGTTGCATTCTTCCAAATGTTTCTTAAAAGAATTTGTAAAAATATTTAAGAGGAAGAAAAAAAATCCTTAACATAAAATCATATTATAACCTTAATATAAATATTGTTTATTGGGCTTATAGGTTGCTCTGCTCAACTGACTCTAAGCAGCATACCATACCATAAATTTGTAATCTGAGTTAAAATAAATACATAATAAAAATTAAAATCAACAAATTTGCCAACATACCACAATTAGTTTAAAATTGTTGCTTCCAGAAAGCAACAATGAAGAATTGAGGTTCTCAATTTCTAATTTCCTTCTCTGCATGCAATTCACCTTTAATTCATGAATCAGCCTACATAAGAAGGCAAAAAAGGGAAAAGTTAAGTAAGTAAAAAATTGAAATTGAATGTCAATAGACACTATTACTTAGCTAAAAGGCAGTATTCAAATGCTCAAAAATCTGTAACCCTATTCATTCTTGTGTATGTTTTAACCAGACTATTTGATTAAAGTTAATTTTTATATAAGAGTATTAGAGGTATATGGGATGTTTTAAAATAACATTAACTGATCAAAGGTAAAGAAAAACCTAATAACTACAAAGATAAATATCTATAGCTTTACACTTTCTGTAATGTATCCATTCAGGGAAGAGCATGGTAGACCTGACTGCATCAAACATTTTATGCCTGTCTATACATGCGGCCCCGATTCATTCTAACCTCAGGAAGCAAGTTAAGGGTACTGATACAGTGTCCTTTTGACTTACACTTTTGTTTGGATGATCTTCTTATAAGTATTACTATTTCAATTGATTTTTAAAAAATGTATTATACTTAAAATATTGTATAATGCTGAGTGCCTATATAGATTGGACAATTTAGTAAAACCATCAAATACGTAAATCAGAATAAAAATACTATGTCTCCAGTAAATAGGCACCCTGGTACTAGGTTTTAGTCTAGCAAATATATTCTCTTTCTACGGGGCTATTAAGATCAACACTACAGTATAAAAACTCTGCAACATAAACACATTTTAAAATATCTTACCTGCAATAAGTGATAGAACTATAGAAACCCAATTGTTTCTTGCGTAAGATAATTGAAGAGTTTAGCCCAGATCTGGGTGTTTTCTGTTGAAAACAATAAAAAAACAAAATCATGTTTCTTGTTCTTGTTCAGATTAAATCATGTGTGGCTACCATTTTAATATCCAAAAATTGAATGGATTTTATACAATGGTAGATCCCTTTTCTATGGTAAAACCAATAATTAATGATTAATTAGTTATTATCACAAAGATTTATAATGAAATTCAGATGAAAATAAAGACAAGGCCACAACGCATCACAAAACTAATTTTAATGAGATGGAAGGTTTTAACTAAATGTTAGCAGTGTGTGACTGTAATTCAACCTTACCTTTATTATTTTCTCATCCTCTTTTAAAAGTTTTAACCTTTGCCTTTCCATCTCTTTCTGATGAATACTCTCCTTGGTGAGAGGATTGCAGTTGTTATGCCCAGGAAGTAAGCGAAAATAGCGATTCTTTTCAGGATCATAATAAAATCCTGGTAATTCTTAAAAAAGAAAATGACAGATCCTATTACTAGAAAGCTCTTTCAACTTCTTCATAACTTACACATTATTCTGGTTTTAGGATCTGGAAAAAGAAACTTCATACTTCCAGTTCAAGACAAAGAAGTTGCTCTTGTTTGCTATACTACAAATAAGCATGTCTACTAAAATAATAAAAATCCAGTCTGAACATCTGGATCACTATGTGAGAAACCATGATAAAGGATATGAATCATTTACACTAGCAAGATTAAAATAACTCAAAATAAAATTCAGCAAGTTAAACAGCAATGGTCATTCTAAAACTTTTAAAAATAATAAATTTTATGTAAAAGTTAGCTAACACACACTCCCCACCAAAAAGCAACTATTCCATGCTTATACTGTATATTTTTCTCAAAATATTCAGAAGCACCAGAACTAACCATTTATGGTAGTTATGTCAGGCACGCACATTTGCTGCAATTAGCAAAATATTTGCATCAGAGCTATTTTATAAATTGTCTTAACAATTACAGTCTGAGAAAAGAGGAAAGAATATAAACTGTAAATTATGTGAAAAACTGTCTTCCTATTTTAATACTTGGAAAAAAGGAAATTGTTACTAAAAACAGTTATTTTCTATTTATCCATATAATTTGTCATTTTGAAAATTAATTTATTTTTTAACCATGAAGGAAAGCCATGTTTTGAAAAGTTTAATGACTTTTTTTTGGCTCCAACCTATGAAAATAATACCTGGAACTGAAGAACTTTGGCATGAATGGGAAGATGCAGATGATGATTCAGCTTGGCCTCTACCTGAGTTCTGCAAGCTTTGCAATTCTCTTTGTTCAGGCCTATGAATATGTGAAAAAGAAAGAATTAAGAAGATAGTAGATAAGCTAAATAACGAAGCAACTCTCAAACACAAAAATATTAAAGGGCTAAAAGTTTACAAAAAGCAGAAAATGATGTTAAAAATTCCATTACTGTATATAGCATGATATCTCATCTGAACAACCGCATTTTTCGGAGTGTAAGACGCATCTTTTTTCCGCAAAAAAGAGGCTGAAAATCTGGGTGCGTTTTATACATCAAATACAGCATATTTTTGCCTCCTGAAGCCCCGCCCCTTCACCAAAATGGCCGTGCATACCCTTATGAAGGCTTTCAGACAGCTCCTGGGGGCGGGGGAGGGCAGAAATGAGGAAAAAATAGGCCGTTTTTGGCCCCAACCAGCCCCCAGCAACACTCTATAAGCCTCCATAAGGCTATGCATGCTATTTTTTTGTCAAAAAATGGGCCGGTTTTTTGTTCGGTTTTCCCCCCCCCCCCCCAGGAGCACTCTGCAAGCCCCCCCAAGGCTATTCATGCCTTTTATTTGAAAAAAAAAAAAACAGGCCGTTTTGGGGAGGTTTGCAGAGTGCAAACACTTTTTTTCCTTTCGGAAAGCTCTTTAGAGTGATTGATGAGAATTACATTGCTCAAGTGCTGTGCCAGCAGAAACAAGTTTTAGGTGCTGCAGGTTGTCAGCTATTTTCTTCTCCAGCACATGGATAAATACACCTGGAAACATCTACCTCCCTCCCTACTCTCTCCCTACCTACCTACTGTATTTCTCTCTCTGTCTCTCTCTCCCTCTACCTCCCTACTCTCTCTCCCTACATACCTGTATTTCTCTCTCACTCTCTCCCTCTCTCTACCTACCCACCTACCCATTCTCTTTCTCTCCCTACCTACCTAATTTCTCTCTCTTCTACCTACCTACCCACTTCTCTCCCTACCTACCTACTGTATTTCTTCTCCTCTCTCCCTCTATCTACCTACCTACCTACCCACTCTCTCTCCCTACCTACTGTATTTCTCTCCCTCTCTATCTCTTTATCTACCTACCTACTTACCTAACCACTCTCTCTCCCTACCTACCTACCTACTGTATTTTTCTCTCTTTTCTCTCCCTCTATCTATCTACCTAACTACCTATTTAAAAAAATTGCCTCTTCAAAACCTTGGTGCGTCTTATACTCCGAAAAATACGGTAAGTCCTTAAATTTGTTTCTCAGGACTTTCATTAATTTACTGAAGCAGTTGACAGGGTATGAAGGGTACTGAGAAATGGCCTGTTAGATTAGGTGATGATGAACCTATGGAACGCATGCTGGAAGTGGAACACAGAACCATCTCTCCGGGCATGCGAGCCGTCGCCCATTGCTCTTCCGGGTTCCAGTGTGCCAGCCATCTGGTCTTCACATGTGCATGTGCACTGGCCATTTGCACATGAATGTATGCCAGAAACCGGAAGACTAGGTAGCTAGTGACATGAATGCATTGGAACCCAAAAGATCATCTTCCTGGTGCCCACATGCACACAGGGCAGCTGCTCTTCCGGTTTCTGGCATGTGCATGCATGTGCCTCTCATTTTGGCACTCAGTGTTCACCAACACTGGACTAGGGAATCTTGGAACTGCAGGAGAAATCTATAATTAATAGAATTCTTGGTGTCTGCCAAATATGTTTATGATAGTGGTTAGCATTTAGAAGAGGGTTTACCACTGTGCCCATAAAAGCTCTCTCTGACATGTCTTCTTAAATCAGAGAACGGTGATGATGGCACAGCAATTTCTTTCAGGTGCTACAGTGAAAAAGAAAGGAAGTAGCCTTAATATATAGCTGAAGTTCACAAGCTGAATGTATCAGCATTTCTTAAGGACTATCTCAATGGGTAATAATAAACCAATACATAAAATGTTCCAAGTACTATAGTAAAAGGATGTGATATATTAAAACCTTATTTATTATAAGATAAATGATTTATTATAACCTTAAAAGTAGCAAAGTATTTCTAGTAAACAGCAACCCAGTATAATCAAGATGATTTTCTTTTCATCAACTTCTGGCACCCAACTTTTAAATAATCTACTCTTTTTGAAATACATTTTTAAAAAGCCAAAAATAAATATTTGCCTTTCAGTAGAATGCCGATGGTGGAATACCGTGTAAGGCTGCCCATTACATAGCCGTCTATGATTATGCTGTACATGATTTCTTCTACCTCGCCATCGATTTCTCTTCATCTCTGCAATGAATAAAGATACTTTAAACCTCACTATTATTTAAAATATAACAAGCTTTTTGAGTAATATTGGAATTCAATAATCTATCAGAAAAATAAATAAGCATGTGCAGTATGCTAAGTATTTTAAAGTATTTTAAGTATTTTAAAAAAATAACTGGTGGTCACCACCCTGATCTGCAAATCTAACATGGATGGGATAAATTGTTCCATACTACATACAAAAGTCTTAATTAGGCACAAATTGTCCACCAGTTGTAAACAAGTTCATCAAATTGATCCTTTCTTTGTACAAGTTTAATCCAAGTCTACACCATATTCAAGAATTATACACAAATAGTCCATCTTAGAAACATTTCACTTTCAATAAATTTATTTACAGGAAAAAAGACAGGAAGAAAAGTCAAACTTAAGTCATTGTCACTATATATGAACAGAGATACACCTTTTTTCCCACAACAGTAAATAGATTGTTGTTTTTTACTTCTCAGTCTAGCCTACAATTTGATATGACCCTATTGCCCCCAATCCAAAAACTACTGTAACTACCAGAACTGACTCTGTTTTGAGCCCAGGTAAACTCAATATAGGGGCTACAAGTTACTGAAAGGTAGTGATCTGACTTTTTTGAATTTGTTAAATTTGAACTTCTGCAAATGCTAGCTGATTGTTGATCAAGCTAGGGTAAAACAGCAAGATGCTGTTTATAGCATGGCAGTTTTTATCTGCAGTGATTCAGGCTATTCTCTTCACATTACTACTCTGCCCCAATTGTCTGTTGCCTCCAAGGATTTTTCCGTCTTCATTTTATTTTTAAAAACAATCTGCTTAGTTAGCTCATGCAGAAAGGGATTACCATACAATCATCCACAGACTTTAGGCCTTAAAGATTTTTTTATTCTGAGATTCCTCCACATCTAGCCTTTCTTATCACAAAGTGCTTCAAAGTTCAAGGAAGATGGTTAACAAAAAACATAATCAAAGATGCTCACATAACAAGCTCAATGCTTGGTAATCCTACAGACACATCCATCTATTTCTCTTGGGAAAACATTAAGCATTAAACGTTTGCTATTGTGGGGTCCTTGGTGTCCCTCTGAGCTTGGTGGTTTTCTTCCAGAGGGCTCATTACCAGCACCAAAGATGGGGACGCGGTGGCTCAGTGGCTAAGACGCTGAGCTTGTCAATCAGAAAGGTTGGCAGTTCAAATCCCCAGCGCCGCGTAACGGAATAAGCTCCCGTTACTTGTCCCAGCTTCTGCCAACCTAGCAGTTTGAAAGCATATAAAAATGCAAGTAGAAAAATAGGAACCCCTTTTGGTGGGAAGGTAACAGTGTTCCTTGCATTTAGTCATGCCGGCCACTTGACCACGGAGACATCTTCGGACAGCGCTGGCTCTTTAGGCCCCTAGAGTTGGGAACACCTAGCACGTATGTGCAAGGAGAACTTTTATCTTTTTAAGATAACTTTGTCATTTTTTTAATGCGCCACATTAAAAATTAAATTATTGCCTGCTCTCAAGAGAAAGTGTATACTTACCCAAACACATACATAACAGACACATATATACATATACACACAGCGGACAGTTCAACCCTGAGCGCCAAATATTATCTCCTATCGGTAGTTTGCTGTTGTCTTCGTCCAGGATTTTTTAAAAACTTTTTTTTCTTTCATTTGGGCAGCCTTCCATCCAAGCCCGACCCTGCTTTGTTTCCCCCGAAACCAGCTAAGATCAACGAGGTGACTCCCACAATCATGCAATTATGCAGATCGCCCTTTAGGTAGATCGTCTGCTCGGCGCAATTCAAACCCTCCCAAGAGAAAGGGGGGGCTGCCCTCTGCTTCAGCCAAGCCACCTCTAAACAGCCCCCCCCCTCGCCCCAATCCGGTTCCTGGGTGTCTGAAATGCCTGCCCCCTCCTCCCTCGTTGTTTAATCGCAGAAGAGCCCTCCCGCTCTCCCCATCAATCTAAACTGCCACCCCTGGGCGCCAGGAAGGCTCTGCCTCTTTCTCCCGTCGTGAAGCAGCCGAGAAACTCACTTTTGCCACCAACCGCTTGCCTAACCCGACGACGAAGACTTCGTTTTGGTCCTCCGACTCTTCCAGCATACCTCTCAGCCCCCAGGGGATTTTAATTGGCCAACAGCGGGCGTCCTATCCCGTCGCGCGTTCTTGCCACAACGCGGAAATAGACGCTTCCGATGTCACGTGGGCCTCGTTCCCTCGCCCGTTGAAGAATCGGGGGTCACGCCGGTGTCCGGCTTTGGAAAGGGGCGGGACTTACTAAACACATGCAGAAGTAGGCGGGGCGTTCGGGGAGAGAGAGTGGTTTTGATTGGAGAATGTGTGGACGCGGCTCCGAGAGCAGAGAGAGAGAGAGAGAGAGAGTATGACGGCATTTCTCAGTCTCGGTAGCTTAAGGAGGTGTGGATTTCTGTCGCAGTGGGTTAGGGAATTCTGGGAATTGAAGTCCACCCCTCTTCAAGTTGCCAAGGTTGAGAAATACGGGTTAGAGCAGGGGGTCTCCAACCTTGATCACTTTAAGACTTGTGGACTTCAACTCCCAGAGTTCCTCAGCCTCAGCAACTTTGCTCCCAGGAATTCTGGGAGTTGAGTCCACAAGTCTTAAAGTTGTCAAGGTTGGAGACCCCTGGGTTAGGGGACGAACCTGTCAGGATTGTAGAGGTGAAATATACATTTTCTTTTTTTAAAAAATCAGTTGAGAAGACCAGTTTGGGAGCTGTCGTTATTGGTGCATGACTTCTGTTTTAAGGACATGAATGAAAATCCTACCAAGTGAATAAGGGAAACTGCAGAAGGAACCTATGGTCACCCAGTTCTCACTGGCTTTCCTTTGAAGAAGTGGAGATTTTTAAAGAAGAGATTGGGCAACCATTTGTCTGAAATGTATAGGGCTTCCTGCCTGAGCAGCGGGTTGGACTAGAAGGCCTCTAAGGTCCCTTCCAACTCTGGTATTCTGTATTTATTGCTGGGCACTTCAAACATTTTGGATTTGTGAGGTGGCAGAGTTTTCATAAAGTCTGTTTCCTTGCAAGAAATAATATAGAAGAGCCTTGCTATTTCTGTGATGTAGGTTTACTTATAAAGCACTTGGAAACAAGCCAGATAAATTGGGCTAATAGAAAAAGCAGTGTTAATTCTACTGTCTCCTCAAGGGCAGCCAGTAATCTGTTTTTCATCTTTGTTAGACTAGACATGCCCAGTTCCTGCAACCATTTATTGTATGTTTTAGCTATCAGCCTCCTAATGATCTTGTTCTCTGCACTCTTTCTAGGATCTCATCATCTTTTTGTGGTGTTGTGGTGATTAAAACTGGACACAATATTCCAAGTGTAGTCTTACCAAAGCAGCATACAGCAGTACCTAACACTTCATGTAATTTTCATATTATCCCTCTGTTGATTCAGCCTAAGACTGTATTGGCTTTTTTGCCAGTTGCCGCACACTGCTGGCTCATATTTAAGTGGTTGTCCAGTAGGACTCCTAGATCCCTCTCACAGGTACGGCTGTTGAGCCAGGTACTGTTTATTCTATACTTTGTACATTTGGTTTTTCTTGCCTAAATGTAAAATCTTCCTTTTCTCACTACTGAATTGCATTTTGCTGGATAGGGCTCAGTGTTCAAGTGTGTCAAGATCCTTTGAGATCTTGTGCCTCTCTTGTAAAATGAAAATATCTATTCCCTCTGTGGTTTGGTGTTGTCTGCAAATTTTATGAGTTTTCCTTCTGTCTCCTAATCTAAATCACTTACAAAGATTTGCAATTTTGATGTTCAATTCATCAAAGTTTAAACTTGCTTGGGCCAATCACTCTCTCTCAGTCTAGGAAGGAGGCAAAGACAAAACCACTTCTGGAAAATATTGTCAAGAAAATTGCAGGGACTAGATCAGGCAGTTACTAACAGTCTAGACTGAGAGAGAGTGATTGGCCCAAAGTTACCCAGCTGGCTTCAACTTAAAGTGAGACTTGAACTCACTGTTTCTCTGTTTCTCCCCTGGCGCCTTACCCGCTACATAATTTGGCTCTCAAGATTAATTAACACACTACTAACCATATCTATGATGTTTATGCTGCTTCTTTGAAGACAAGCATCTAGGAAGATTGAAGTGCCTCAGGTTTCTGCTTATATTTCTGCTTGTGTCTCCTAACAAATGATGAATTAGTATTTTTAAGATTTATAGATATTCCAAATTTATTTTCATATGGATTAAGATTCTGTGCATTGTAATTCACTTCTGTATGCAAATATACAATACATTTAGCGGATATGTTTTTAAAAATTCAATTGGTTTGGCATATTGATATTAAGAAGTAACACAAAGGTCAAGTCCAGAGTCCAAAGGGGACAAAAATAGCAGAAGCAAGTACCAAATAAAGCTTTTGCAAGAAATAAGCAATGGGTATGCTCATTGCACGACTATCCTATCCTTTTACCTTATGTATGTTCAGACAGGTTTATTTATATTACAGTGCGTAAAACTCCATACTTTCTTTGTACATATTCTTATACTTGACTTGCCTCCATTTTCCCCAACTTTGCAATGGATGTCTGTTTAATTATGAGTTTATAAGAGGGTTTTTGTTCGTTTGTTGTTTGGGTAAAATACTTGTGCTCCTTGGATATCTTTGCCTTGCCTTCAAAATCTTGAGTTACATAACTCTACTTATTGTGCTCACTTACTTCTGCTCTATCTTCTTTTGAGGCATCCGTCCTCATTCTATGAATATATCTGAACTTTTAAAAAATCATACCGTAGACTTTATTTGTGGAATTGGTACTGTTTTTAAATAAATATTTAGTGTGGACTAGTTTGATTACACTGGTGAATCATGACTTGAATAATATTAATCTGAAATGAATATGCAACCTAATTATAAGGGTCAAAGTTTATGATTCTAGGCTGTCAGCTGTATTAAAATGTTGACTTTGGTCTAATAAATTATGTGGCAATTGATGTAGCAGCTCTGTTTTTTCCACTTTGGGTATTTTTCAGTATTGGAACTAAATTGTCAAATGTTTACACCCATAATAAACATCATCATGTTTAATATCCAATATATAAGTCTTCTAAGACTTTTCTGATAAAATCTGTCATTTCCCATTGTGACCAGTAGAGAGCAGCATTAACATAAAGATTGCCAAATGTGCCCTCCATATCTTTTCCCCCCTTCTTTTTTAACAGATGGCATGAATGGACACATTCCTTTACAAATTAAAGCATAGGAACAAAAGTCTGCCGGGCAATTCAAAGATATGTTTAAAAAATAGATTTAGTTGTATTTGTGGCATTTGTGATTGCAGTCAGAAAAGGATTCCTAGCAGCTCTTTGTATAAGTGTGTGCATGGACCTTGGGGTTGACTTGATTACTGGTGATTACATGGGCAAGTCTGTGCAACTTGCTTGGCAATATTTTTTTAATGGTTTACTCTTGTTTTCTTCCTAGCATCTGGGAGAGAGTGACTGGCCCAAAGTCACCCAGTTGACTTTATGCCTAGGTCAGAACTAGAATTCATAAATCCCTAGTTTCTGCCCATATTGTTTGTTTTTTTCTTTGTATCCAGAATGGCAACACAGGATGGTCTAGAAAGGAATGTTATGTTTTTCTTCCAGAATGTTATGTTTTTTCTCCTGGAACACACTATTCCATGAGTGGTCTGTATTATTCCAAAAAGTATGCTGGCATGTTCTGCTTCCTAACACATTTTTAAACCATGAACACAGTGGATGATCTTTACTTATTTTGCACAATCCTTACCCTTAAATGAACAATGTAGGATAATTTTTAGCATCCTGCAATTAATTTGGTATACAATTTTCTTTCAACTTTCAACCTAACCTACAGGATGGATATTGACTGAGGAAATAAATTTTCTGTACCTTAATTGAAGTGATCTGTAATATCAAAAAGCAAATCCCTCTTGCCAGCCTTGCTGCTCCAATTCTAGTCAGATCTTTCATTTCCCCCAATCAGTATATGCTCAGGTAAACTTTTCTGAGAATTGGAGCCAATTTCAAGAGGCAGTGGCGAATATTCTCCCCCACAACTATAAGCAGACAGCCTGATCGGGTTACCAAATCCTACTTCTCCAGAGAATAGATTTGGCTCGAATCTACATCTGTACATTTGTCTGCATCTGGATGCAATTCTTCCAAAGCAGATGTCCTCTCTGGAGAGTTTCCCTTCCAAAAGAGGAATCCCATGTANCACCCAGTCAAATGAGCCACCACCACCACCAAGCCACACACACAGAACCGGTAGGAAAATTTTTTGAATTTCACCACTGTTTCAAACCCCTGAGATCATTATTTAGATCAGTGGTCTCCAGTCTTTCCAGCTTTGCAGGCGAAGGATGGGTAGAGGGGATGGTTCCGCAGGAGCAGCAGTGAGCAAGCACATGAGCATGCAGTTCCATGTGCACAAACATGTGATGGGCACACGTACCCCCTGTTCACATAAATGGAGTTGAAGGCACACACTCATCTGCCTGCTATGTGCTCAAGTGAAGCTGCTTGTGCAAGTGGAGCTGTGTGTGCTCTTGCCTGCTGCTTCTGTGGCTTTGTTCTGAATGGGACATGGCCCGGTAGTGAGCCACAGCCCGTGGGTTGGGGACCCCCGATTTAGATCATATAATTTGTAGGCTTCTTGCAATGTACTTTACCAGTGGCCAGGCCTCTTATCAGACACGCCTCTTCACAGACAAACAAGCAATAGCTCTTCAAATCTATTGTACCTCTGTAACAGTGATGGCCAATTTTTTTACCACGGTTCGGGCATGCTCACACGCACGCTTGTGCAATGCTTCTGCGCATTTGCAGAAGTGTCCAAGCGGGTGGGAAGAGCCTCCCGTCACGGCTACTACCGGTTCGCCCGATCTGGGCTGAACCGGGAGCAACCCACCTCTGCTCTGTTAAGTATTCCCAGCTGCACTCACCTGACCAACAGTTTCTAGAGCTGCACAAATAAAAACAGCTAGGAGAAGGTTGTGTTTGGGGAAATGACTAGAAAAAGAAGGGTTAGGCATGTTCTGCTTGGAAAAGATAGATGTTCTTTCTAGCACCCATGCCGCTGGGCCACGTAGGACAACTGGGCTAGTGCCAGGGATCTTTTGAATATAATATGCTTACTTCGGGATTTGGAGTACAAGTGAAATTCCCATGTTCCATAAATGCAG